TTTCTTTTCTTGTCTGATTGCTGTCATTAGGACTTCCAATACTATGCTGAGTACAAGTGGCAGGAGTGGCATTCTTATCTTGTTCCTGATCTTGGAGGACATGATTTCAGCTTTCCACAATTGAATATAACGTGAGCTATGGCCTTGAAATATACAGCCTTTATTATATTAAGGCATGTTCCTCATATATCCATTTTGCAGAGAGATTTTTTCATAAATGGTTGTCAAATTTTGTCAAAAACTTTTTCTGTATGTATTAAGATGATCATATGGTTTATATTCTTCAATTTGCTAATGTAGTAAATCATTGATTTGTGGATAGTAAACCATCCTTGTGTCTCTGGGAAAAATCTCAGTTCATCATGATGTATGATGCTTTCAATGTGTTCTTGAATTCAGTTTGCTAATATTGTGTTGAGAAGTTTTGCATTTGTGTGCATTTGTTATATTGGCTATAATTTTTTGTAGTGTTTGTCTTTTTTTGGTATCTGAAATTGATGCTGGCCTTCTATAAGAAGTTAAGAACTGCTCCTTTCTCTTCAATTTTTTGAAGTATTGTGAGAATTACAGGTGCTAACTCTTCCTTAAACTTTGGGTAGAATTTATCTGTGAAGCCCTTCAGTCCTAAAATTTTGCTGAGATACTTTTAATTACTGATTCAGTTCTATTACTGGTAATCAATTTGTGCATAGTTTATATTTATTCCTGATTTAGTCTTGGGAGACTGTGCATTTATAGGAATTTATCCATTTCTTCTAGGTTGTCCAATTTATTGACATATAATCATTCATAATAATCTCTTATGATCCTTTGTATTTTTAGTGGTATTGGTTAGCTTTCATTTATGATTTTATTTGTGACTACTCTTTTTCTCTCTATTAGTCTGGCTAATTGTTTATCAATTTTTGTTTTTCTTTTCAAACAGGAAGTTTTTACATTTATTGATATTTCTATTTTTGTTTTCAGTGGCTATTTCATTATTTTTTCCCATTCTGTCATTTATTAACTTCTTCCTTCAACTAACTTTGCATTTTGTTTGTTTTTGTTTTCCAGTTACTTTACTTGTAAGGGTTGATTGAGATTTTTCTTCTTTTCTTAGGTATTCTGTACCACTATAAACATTTCTCTTTAGAATCATTCATCCTACGTCCCATAAATGTTTTTTTAACTTTGTATCTAGCTTATTTACTTATTTTATTATTGGCGTATAATTGCTTACAATGTTGTATTACTTTCTTCTGTACAAAAAAGTGAATCAGCAATAAGTATACATAAATCCTCTCTCTCTTGAATCTCTCTCCCACCCCTCTATGTCATCACAGGTTCCATAGATTTTGATTGCTATGTTTCCATTTTCATTTTCCTCCAAGTTTTTTTTAGTGTGCTCTTTTATTTTTTCAATGACCCCCTTGATTGTTTAGTAGTGTATTGTTTAAATTCCATGTGTGTGGTTTTTGAGGCTTTTTTTTCCCCCTTGTAATCACATGGATCATGGTCAGAAAAGACAGTTGATATGAATTCAATATTCTTGAATTTGTAGAGATTTGTTTTGTGGCCTAGACAGGTGATCTATCCTAGAGACTATTCCAAGTGCACTTGAAAGGAATGTATGTTCTGTTGCTTTTGGATGGAATTTTCTATGTATATCTATTAAATCTAATTGTCTAATATGTCATTTAAAACAGGCGTTTCCCTATTAGTTTTCTGTCAGAATGATCCCTTCATTGATAAAACTGGGGTGTTAATATCCCCTACTATTACTGAGGTTTTATTTTTTTTCTTTATATTTGCCCTATGTATTTTCGTGCGTGCATGTTCAGTCCCTTCAGTCATGCCCAACTCTTTGTGACCCTATGGACTATAGCCCACAAGTCTCCTCTGTCCATGGAACTCTCCAGGCAAGAGAAAAGGAGTGGGTTGCCATGCCCTCCTCCAGGGGATCTTCCTGACCCAGGGGTCAAACCCACAACTATGTCTATTGCATTAGCAGGCAGGTTAGATGCCTATATTTATAATTGTTAAATCTTCTTTTTGGATTTTTCCCTTTGTCATTATGCAATGTCCTTTTCTGTCTTGTTATAGTCTTTGTTTTAAGGTCTAAGTTTGTCTGACATAAATTTTGCTATTCCAGTTTTTGTTTTGTTTCCATTTTCATGGAATACCTTTGTTAACTCCTCACTTTGTGTGCGTGTGTAGATCTGAACAGTGTCTCCTTAGGCAGCATACAGATGAGTCTTATTTTTCTTTATCCATTTAGCCACTCTGTGTCTTTTAATTGAATCATTTAGTCCATTTACATTTAAAGTAATTATTAATAGGTATGTATTTATTGTCATTTGTTAATTGTTTGGAGGTTGTTTTTATGGTGGTTTTTGGTTCCTTTCTTCTTCTTTTGTGATAGGATGATGGTCTTCATGTTTTGTCTGGATTCCTTTTCCTTTTTTGTGTATGTATCTATTATTTTTTTGGGTTTGTGATTGCCATGAGGTTCATATATAACAGTATTTTCTATACAGGTATATTTTTGAGTTGATGATCTCTTAAGTTTGAATGCATTCTAAGCACCTTGCTTTTTACTCCCTCACATTTATGTTTTGTTTTTGACATCATATTTTTCATCTATTTATATTATGTATATATCCCTTAATTACTTATTATGATTATAGATACTTTTACTACTTTTGTCTTTTAACCTTCTTATTAGCTTTAAAAGTGATTGATGTACTTCCTTAACTATATTTTTGTTATTAGCAATGAGGGTTTTCCTTTCATAATATTCTTATGTCTATTTCTGGCCTTTTTTATTTTTTGCTTAGTTGTTGTTGTTCCATCACTATGTCGTGTCCAACTCTTTGCAACCCCATGAATGGCAGCATGCCAGACTTCCCTGTCCTTCACTATCTCCCTGAGTTTGCTCAAACTCATGTCTATTGAGTCAGTGATGCCATCCAACCATCTCATCATCTGTAACCCGCTTCTCCTCTTGCCCTCAATCTTTCCCAGCAACAAGATCTTTCCCAATGAGTCAGCAAGGTTAGTGGTGATGATCTCTTAGCTTTTGCTTGTTGGTAAACCTCTTTATCTCTTTTTCAAATCTAAATGATAACCTTGCGGGATAAAACATTCTTGATATTAGGCTAGTTTATTCCATCTTTAAGGATATCTTATAGAGGTATTTTAAAGCTTAAAAGACAAAATTCTTACCAAAAATTCAGTTACCAAAATTCAGTTTCTGGTTATACAGTGTCAGGTCAGTTGCAATTAGTACTATTAATGCAAAGACATGTCATTTGTTTTTTACATAAAAGTAGAAAAGTATACAAAAGCAATGTAAAATTCTTAGTCTTCTATTATTACAAACAGTTTGAATACGTACACTTACACACATGCAAATTTGACTTATTTTTTTATTTTATTATGTCCATAATAAATTTACTTACTACTGTTTGGCTCAGAAATTTAAAAAAGAAATTATTTCAGTAATATTAAATATAGGATCCCATTAGGAGACTCTAAAGGGTAAGAGTAGAAAATAGTCCATTAACGTTATAACACACGGTAGAATCAAACACAGTATGAAATATAGAAGTCTTGAATACAGTACAAGAAAAAAAACCAAAAATAGCATATAGTAGCAAATCCTAAAAGAATATTGATTTTGTAGGTGATTGGGGAAGGATAAATTCATGACTATTCCTAAGGCCTTGAAATAGGATTCTGTCATTTTCTGGACATGCATTAGGCAATATAAAAAATAAGATGTTAACTAAAGAAAAAGTCCACTTAGAAATATGACAGTTTCTACCAAGTATCTATTTGAAAACTACCTTACCTATCTGAAGGGTTTCCCTAATAGCTCAGCTGGTAAAGAATCCACCTGCAATGCAGGACACCCTGGTTTGATTCCTGGGTCAGGAAGATCCACTGGAGAAGGGAAAGACTACCCATTCCAGTATTCTTGGGCTTCCATTATGGCTCAGATGATAAAGAATCTGCCCACAATGTGGGAAACCTGGGTTCAATCCCTGGGTTGGAAAGATCCCCTGGGGAAGGAAAAGGCTACCCACTCCAGTATTCTGGCCTAAAGAATTCCAAAGACTGCCTAGTCCATGCAGCTGCAAAGAGTTGGACATGACTGAATGACTTTCACTCCTATTTGAAAATACAGGAATCATGAAGACCTGGGGGATGTGTTTTATCTTAGAGTCAGTCTCTCATCATTGCGAAGACAAGAGGTAGAGAATTATAATTCGTCTCCAAAATTCTCCAGATTATTTTATCAGTATTAAACAGAAATTAAGATAACCAGACACAGAACACACTGGCATATTTATCTTCTGAATTGTTTTCCATAAATAATGCATATTAAGCAACAACATTGAACAAGGATTTGTGAAAGTGTTGAATATAAATGCCTTCTGCTGTATAACCAGGCCATTTTATACCTTACTGCTGCTCCTGCTGCTGCTAAGTCACATCAGTCGTGTCCCACTCTCTGCGACCCCATAGACGGCAGTCCAACAGGCTCCGCCATCCCTGGGATTCTCCAGGCAAGAATTCTGGAGTGGGTTGCCATTTCCTTCTCCATTACACCTTATAGACAATCAGAACTGTCTTCATGCTGTCAGTTACATAGCACAGTGGAAATGCATTCTTACTTAAGTATATCATACGTTATATATGTAAATAGATTTATTATCTCTATGATAAAGTGCTATGTACCTTTTATTACTCCAAAATTGGCATCTGAGCAGTACTATTTTGAGAGGGGAAAGATACAGTTTAATTGACACTTAAATATAAATTCCATTCTCAATGTTTTCAAAGGCTGTATCTTAAAGAGGTTAAATAAAAAGTAGGAAATAGAATTAGAAAAAAAGGAATAAAAGCACATATTTAGGGCAAGAAAGTTTAAAAATAAGTAAAATTCATTCGATGTCTTTTTTTATCATCATTACTCTTTAATTCAAGTTATTAATTCAAGTTAATCAGTCTTCCTCATCGGTCAAAATGATTTGCTTTAATATCACAAATATTCAATTTGTAAATGTCTAGCCACAGGCTACAGTGGTAATAACAGTTCTATAAATTTACTTTGTTTCTAGGAAGAGAACATTTCTTATGACTGCAGAAACCCGGCCAGACTTTAGATACCGACTCTTCAGTTTTGACATAGCTGCCTTCATTTCTTTATTCCTTAGAGTATAGATAACCGGGTTTAAAATGGGAGTAAAAATGGTGTAGAACACTGCAAGGACTTTGTCAACTGAATAACCACTGAAGGGCCACACATAGATGAAGATGCATGGTCCAAAGAATAATATGACCACGGTGATATGAGCAGTCAGTGTGGAGCGGGCCTTGGCTGTGCTAGCAGAGGAGTGGCTCCTAACTGTGATGAGTATCACAGTGTAAGATACAACCAACAGGAGGAAGGAACTCAAAGAAAGAAGGCCACTGTCTGCAACTATTAGTAAACTGATAACATAAGTGTTTGTGCAGGCCAGTTTGGTCACTAAAGGGAGGTCACAGAAAAAACTATCCACTTGATTAGGCCCACAAAAAGGCAAGTTAACAGTAAATGCCAGCTGGCTAGTAGTATGGATGAAACCCACACACCATGGAATGAGGACCAGAGTAATACACACACGCCAGTTCATGATTGTCGTGTAGTGGAGAGGTTTACATATAGCAACATAACGGTCATAAGCCATGGATACAAGGAGCACCATTTCACCACCAGCAAATAGATGAACAAAGAAAATCTGGGCCAGGCAGGCTTCAAAAGAAATAGTCTTGCGCTCAACCAGAAAGTCTGCAATCATTTTGGGGGTAGCAAAGGAGGCAACACATATATCTATAAGAGAGAGGTTTGCGAGCAGAAAGTACATAGGGGTATGAAGGCGGGAATCTGAGGTCACAGTGAGGATGATGAGAAAGTTTCCCAGCAGTATTGCTAGGTAGAGCAGTGAAAATATGAGAAACAAGAAAGGTTGGAGCTCCTGGGAACTAGATAAACCCAGCAACACAAATTCAGTCACCCGAGAATGATTTGTCTCATTCATTGACTTTGCAAAAGACTTCTCTTCAGTCACTTGAATAAGAGAGAAATAGAAATCAGTGAATGAACTAATTGTGGTTTAATTTTCCAGTTCAGTTAGAGAGTCTAGTTTCTACTCACATGTACTTGTTAGACCTCACACGTGTCTAAATAGAGACAGTGCTCTAGTAATCAAAAGAGAACAAACTCAGGATGGGATATTGAGCCAAAAGTTTTCTAGAAGAGGAGGGTGGTGGTTGGGAGGTTGGTGGAGAGAATTTCAACCAATTGATTTATTAATTGCTTAAGTTTAGTAAGTTAAGAAAGCTAATTTGCAAATGAGATTTACAAGTGAATGTTGCAAATAAATGTCTGAAAAGTTGTTTATATATCACAGAAATCCACTATTATTATCTACAGAGACAAAATTATCATTTTTTCTTCACTAAATAAAATAAGAACTCTTAAAAAGAGAAAGATGTGTGAACTGCTACCAGAAGGAAATACATTTTCACAAAATTAATGTGCAAAAGACATTAGACACAAAAGAGTAAATGCTCTATTACTCTATTTAAATGAAGTGTAAAGACAGATGAGCAAGTCTATAGTATTTGAAGCTAGGATAGCAGTTTTCTTTGATGGGATTAAAGGGACAGGAGGAAACATTGGAGGGGCTTTTGGATTGCTAGTAATGGTCTGATTTTGATTCAGTTGAGTGGCTTCTTAGGATGTACAGAAAAAAGGGGACTTTCTTTCTCTTTCCCATGTGGGTTCTAAAAACCTCTTCCTGCTGTAACAGTTAAAATTCTTTTCTCATTGCTAATAAGATTGTTTGGGCATTGGCTTCTTCAGAAACTCTCTTTCACAATTCAGCATTAGTGGAAGATGATTGTATATTTTGTGTCATAAATCATTGAGATTTGCATAATAAATTAACATTTTCATCTTTTCAGTTTTTTCTCTTATGATAGGGGGCTATGGAAATAAGAAAGTTATGCTTTCTTATGAAGAAGAAAGTTTAGCTTTCTCATCTTTGGTCCAAAGGAGTGGAAAAAACTGTGAAGGATAAACATATAGATTATATCTATTTCCTCTTCTGTTACAAAGTAGCTCATTGACCTCAGAAAAGCTCTTAAATCAATACCTCCATTCTTAAGGATGTAGGATGAAGATTTTGGGCAAACAAAGCTCTAAGTTTTTTGCAATATAAATCCATTCTTATTTTTAGTAAACTTGTTTTATAATAATTTAACTGTCCATTTTTCCCAGAACACTGAGCTAGGTAGGATGGTGATAGAGCAGTTAGATTTAAAACTTTCCCTCCTGAAAATTCTTTACTAATGTTATAATCCTTACTCCTTTTAAAGGTGATGGTCCTTCTTTTTCTATCAGTCTCCAGTACATTCTTTATTAAATGAAATAAGAATAGCTTTATCACTTAATAAAAAAACACTATTTTTATACCCAATAAAATACTATACAATAATGGAAACGTAAATCTATTGGGAAAATATTCTAGGTTAAGATCACAACTGTGTCATCAGGCAACTGTATGACATTGAGCAAGTCACTTAACTGTTCAGGGCTCATTAATCTCAGAAATAAAACATTGAGAATAATGTTGTCCTGAAAGAGACATGGAAAATATTTGCTAAAAGAAAAAAATTTATAAATGATAAATCTTTAATCAAGTGTAAAAACCACACATATATGAGCATTCTTAATAACATATTATTTCATATCAGAGTATTTCCTTTCTGACAATAATGCCTGTTCAAGGATGATGTTATCTAACTTTTCAAAGAACAAGTTTACTCTACTGAATGGGCCTACGTAAATTCTTTTTTTTTTTTTTTTCAATACTTTAGAGTGAATTCATGCAATCATAGGAGTTTTTGCTAGGTGGCTTGCAGATTCCTCCTTTTCCTAAATCTTATAGATAAAGCCTCTTTCCAATGCTTTTTATTGCTAAATATTATGCCTGATAGGTAAGATAAAGTAGGCATGAGTATAATTTACAGATGCCAATAAACTCTACCAGCTCAAAGTTAGAGTTAGAAAGAATATCAGAAACTTTCTTGACTGTCTACTTTTTCCATGCTCTTCTCCTTTCCTGGTCCCTCACTGTTATATGGTCCTCAGAAAGACACAAATAAAATGCTGCTTCTTATCTAAGATAAAATGAAGAGAGTGCACACATCTTTATCTATGGTCATTAAGTCTTTGAAAGGATTTAGTTGTCAGGCACAAGTTACCAAGAAAAACTGACATGGCCTCAGATGATGAGCCACAAAACAGCTTTACTTCTAAAGAAGGTAGGAAGCACAGTGCCTGTACCTGGGATGGACTTGTCTCCAAGGATGTGGGATAGGGCTGGATGCTGTATCCTGCTGGAAGCCCTTCGTAGCTGTGGGAGCACTTGGAGCTCTCAGGAATCTGAGAGTGGTAAAAGAGGTAGTAAAAAGAAGCAAAGAAGCGATGAAAATAAATTTTCAAATGTTGCACAGAATTTAGCCTAGTCGTTGCTACATTGCTTTTCTTCATGGTAGCAGTAAATAAGGAAATATGTTGGCAATCACAGGAATTTGTAGAGACTTCTAGAAATTAAAATCAATAAAACTTCACTAAAGGTCACATAAAGAAGATTGACTCCTGACCATTCCAGCCACATATGCTTGGGAAATGTGATCTTCCAACTTAGCCTCCAGAGATATGAATGGAATTAATCAAATAGTTAAAACATTGATATCTAGAAGGAACTCAAAACATTACAGATATATAGTTTTTTTCATGTAAGCCTTCTTTCTCTGATCAGAAAAAAATTGTCAGAAATATTAGTCAAATGCACTCCAATTTTTTTTTCTTTTGAAGCACAATCAATTATAGTTATTGCCATGAAATTTAGATTTTGTAAGGTTCCTGAATTGTCTGGAAATTTAATCATTTTCTCAAAATAATGCTTAGAAAAATTTTAGACTTCTTCCTTCTTTTCTTACTCTCCTTAATTTTATTTTATTTATTTTTTTTTACTATCCTTAATTTTAAAGTACAGATTAATTTTTCCCTCTTCAGAGATATGTATGATCTTCATATAATTGAATCAGACATTTTATCCTGTAACAGTATAATAGGTTTAACAATATTAGTGGAGCTTCTCCGATGACTCAGGATGTAAAGAACCTGCCAGCCAATGTAGGAGATGTGAGTTTGATCCCTGGATTAGGAAGATCCCATGAGAAGGAAATGGCAACCCACTCCAGTATTCTTGCCTGGAAAATCCCAAGGACAGAGGAGTCTGGAGGGCTATAGTCCATAGAGTTGCAAAGATTTGGACATGACTGAGCACACATGCATGAAAACATTAGTGATGATATTCTCAAACACAGGCAACATATAGGAAAGTAAAAGTGAAAGTTAAAGTCATTCCAGCACACTATTTTTTCACAATTAAGTACATAGCAGGTGATTCTTACTTTCATTAGTTATTTATATATAATAACTATAACTAGTAGCTGTAAATATATTTTATATCTACTAATATTTTCTTGACCTGAATAAGCAAACCATTCTAAATTATAGACTTTAAAATAGCCTGAAAGAAATAAAAGCAAAAATAAACAAATGGGACCTAATGAAACTTAAAAGCTTTTGCACAACAAAGGAAACTATAAGCAAGGTGAAAAGACAGCCCTCAGATTGGGAGAAAATAATAGCAAACGAAGCAACAGACAAAGGATTAATCTCAAAAATATACAAGCAACTCCTCCAGCTCAACTCCAGAAAAATAAATGACCCAATCAAAAAATGGGCCAAAGAACTAAACAGACATTTCTCCAAGGAAGACATACAGATGGCTAACAAACACATGAAAAGATGCTCAACATCACTCATTATCAGAGAAATGCAAATCAAAACCACAATGAGGTACCATTATATGCCAGTCAGGATGGCTGCTATCCAAAAGTCTACAAGCAATAAATGCTGGAGAGGGTGTGGAGAAAAGGGAACCCTCTTACACTGTTGGTGGGAATGCAAACTAGTACAGCCGCTATGGAAAACAGTGTGGAGATTTCTTTAAAAGCTGGAAATAGAACTGCCATATGACCCAGCAATCCCACTTCTGGGCATACACACCAAGGAAACCAGATCTGAAAGAGACACGTGCACCCCAATGTTCATCGCAGCACTGTTTATAATAGCCAGGACATGGAAGCAACCTAGATGCCCATCAGCAGACGAATGGATGAGGAAGCTGTGGTACATAGACACCATGGAATATTACTCAGCCATTAAAAAGAATTCATTTGAATCAGTTCTAATGAGATGGATGAAACTGGAGCCCATTATACAGAGCGAAGTAAGCCAGAAAGATAAAGACCATTACAGTATACTAACACATATATATGGACTTTAGAAAGATGATAACGATAACCCTATATACAAAACAGAAAAAGAGACTCAGATGTATAGAACAGACTTGTGGACTCTGGGAGAAGGCGAGGGTGGGATGTTTCAAAAGAACAGCATTGAAACATGTATATTATCTAGGGTGAAACAGATCACCAGCCCAGGTTGGGTGCATGAGACAAGTGCTCGGTCCTGGTGCACTGGGAAGACCCAGAGGGATCGGGTGGAGAGGGAGGTGGGAGGGGGGACTGGGATGGGGAATACATGTAAATCCATGGCTAATTCATTTCAATGTATAACAAAAACTACTGTAATGATGTAAAGTAATTAGCCTCCAACTAATAAAAATAAAAAATAAAATAAAAAATTAAAAAATTAAAATAGCCTGAAAGGCACATCAAGAAAAGATATCCAAAGGTATCATATGATATAGACAGAGCATTAGCCTAGGATAAAATCTTTTCTACTTCTTTTCCACTATTTACCAAACTTTAGGCAAATCACACAACCTTTCAGGTACTCAGTTTCTCTTTGAAAAAAGGAGGCAGTTGAGAACTATTCTCTTTTAACCGTAACAGCCTATGATTCTCTGGCATTTGAAAATATCCCCAGAGAGAAAATTGCTTAAATGTAAAAAAAAAAAAAAAAATGTAACTGGTTACACTGATGGAAACAGTATATATGGTTAAAAAAAAAGAAAA